GTTAACGGTCCGCCTTTGATGGAATATTTCAAAACATTTTGAAAATCTTCTCTTGATGAATTTCTCTTCTCCAAGATAAATTTTCAGTTGCTTGAACTCCAGGTATCCTATAATTCAACTTTATGTCGGTTTTAATTCCGGTCTTCAAATCAGCTATGTAGGTTCATCGCTTGTAACACTTCTTCTACTACTCCATATCGTACTTCCGACTTATACATGAACACCTTAAGAAGTTCTTTCTCGTCAGCTTCTAAAATCCAGTCTTCACTTGACTAACAATTTATCCTATCATTATACTTGCAATATCATCTTGTAATTACTTAGGATTTCCATGATTAATATGTATGTGCTCGAAAGATATAATGCAATACAATACAAAATTTTATAAAAGATAGCCATAGTCTAAGAACATAAAATATAATGATGCAAACGCACAAGGGAACAAAAAGTCAATAACTTCGTGGAGTCTTTCTTTTTACACAACTTAGTGTTATTAAACCTTCAAAATTGTTAGTTAAAACACAAGAGTGAATTATCTATCCTCTTTGATATCAAGCATAAACTACAATAGCAAGTAAACTTAAGAACGATAGGTCTTCATACGAATATGATGCAAAATCAAAGCAAGGCTTAATGTGTTGATAGAGCATTTACGACAAAATCAGACAGCTAAAAATAGTCAACAATGTGTGAAGTTGAGAATAAGCCCTCACCTACAAGAGAGCTGAGAGTTATCTCGAATGCATCTTCTAACCCCGTATAAACCGCTTCACAAAATGACAAAACTGTGACTAAACGTAAGTAAAAGGTCGGCAATGAATACAAGCACATCCCCTAATAGAGGAGGATGATTAAAACGGAATTGCCTCCAGTGAACCCATTGGTAAAATTTCCAACGAAAACATATATGGTAATATGGAGTAATGTAGAGATTCTGGTGAACCCACTGGAGATCATAAACCAAGTCCCAAGATCATGAAATTATTTCTCATAACTAGTGTTGGTGGGGTGTTTGTTGGCATAACATCTTTTGGAGGTTTAATGGGCCAATGCCAAGAATATAACAAATCTTGCCGATGTCATGTAATACATATGGGCCAATGCCAAGAATATAACAAATCTTGCCGATGTCAGTAATACATGGAAGAAACAAAGTGTTGGATCTGAGGCGAAAGACATCAGGGGAAAGAATGCATCAATTTATTATGGGTTTTTCTTTTGAATCTTAAGTTAAGGGATGCATCAATAACCGTATTTACACAAATATCAACATATATTGAATTGCAAATATATCTTATTCAGAAATATGTTTTTTTTTTTTTTTTTTTTGACAACGAACGGCTGATCTATTACTCAAACTTGAGGTGGTCTGGGAATCCAGACCGGAATAGAACAACCTACAAACACCAAATCACGATAAAAGGATCGAGCAGTCCTAGCTAATGAATCAGAAACACCATTCTGAGTCCTAGGCACATAAACAATCCGAAACTCGGGAAAGCAAATCTGCAAGGTAGCTAGCTTTTCCAGTTCCGTTGAGAAGCTTGGCCAGTCCTGTGGCTTCCTTAGCATTGATATCACCTCCTTACAATCCGTCCCAAAGCTCTGACATGGCGAATGTTGAAGCATGTTCTCCATTGCCCACCGCAGTGCTTCCAGCTCAGAATGCAAAGCCGACTCCACTCTATCAANGCAAGGTAGCTAGCTTTTCCAGTTCCGTTGAGAAGCTTGGCCAGTCCTGTGGCTTCCTTAGCATTGATATCACCTCCTTACAATCCGTCCCAAAGCTCTGACATGGCGAATGTTGAAGCATGTTCTCCATTGCCCACCGCAGTGCTTCCAGCTCAGAATGCAAAGCCGACTCCACTCTATCAAAATTACGCAACCCCATCAGCTGACCTCTCCCCGTACTATCCTTCCAAACCCATCCACATCCGCTGTAAGGAGCCGTGGAGGTCCAGGAACCATCCACCAGACAGATATCCCCCAGACTTATGGTCTGGTTACCACCATTCATGTCGATTTGGGAGGGTAATGACGATTGTTCATTTGCTTGATACCAGGCAAGGCATTCACTTTCTGCATACCTTGCAGTTTCCAAAGGGTCTCTATCAATCCCTTTGAACAATTTGTCATTCCGAGCCTTCCAGATATACCAAATTAGCCATGGAAAGGGATCCATATCTGCTACCGGTCCACCTAACTCATCCTTCCTCCAAAAGAGATAGTCCATATTCGCATAAGTGCTCTGCAAGGGAAATAAAGACGGGCTAGTGGGTAGAGACGACAAAGCCCAGACTTGCCTTGCCGGAGGGCACATGAAGATAGCATGTGTAATCGATTCCTCCGGTTCCCCACAGCGTGGACAATAGTTATCACATCGCATATGGCGATAGTTTAGGATGCTCGTAACACGTATTATATAGGTCACTAATCCACTTTTTAACATTCTGTTTTCTAGAATTAGAAATGACATTTTATTTTACAAAAGAAAGATTTAAAATCATCATCATCATCATATATATAAAAGAGAACTTACTCTCTTCTCATAAAGCCACCTCAGCATTATTCTGAGTATCTAAAATTGTGACACCTATCTTTTTTACGTAATCAAAGTTTAACTAAGTTCTTATGTTTTTCCTTGTGGGCCATTACTCTAAATTTATGTATGATCCATCTTTTTCAGAATTTCACACGGCTACCAACATAAATGAACTTATCTCTTGCATCATCACTCTTCGACTCTTGAGCTTTCCGGCCATCACTTCTGTAACATCACCCGTTTTCATATTAAATCTCATCATCTTAGCATTTACGTCGAACCCACTACTCATGCCATTCTCTCGCAATTAAACAGTGTTATTATGATCGTTTCGGGCTAAAACAATATTCTTATAACATTTTGGAAATGTGATGACTTTGCGATAAATAAAATACGAGCTCCATGTTTTTTGTTGTATTATGCTTCATCCTACATTACCAAAAGATCAATAGTTATGTTATGTTTATAACACTATATTTAATCCCACTTTATAACATATAATATAACTTGAGTTTAAAAGTATTTTTGTCACATTCAGTATTTATATTATAATACTCATTTTCAACACTAAAATATGTTACACTTTTAATAATTAAAATATCTTATTTGTTGAAATATCACTTTAGCATTCATTATTTAGAATGTAATACTCTTTTTAAACTTTCATATATTATAATTTTAAAATAAGAAAATATATTTTTTAAATTGCAAAATTTTCAGATATATTTTATATTTCGAAAAAACAATTAAAGAAAAAGATTGTATTATAACAAATTATAACAAAATAGAAAACAATCAGAAGCTAAAATGTAACATTTATCTATTGGAGAAGGATTAGACTAACTAAGCTAAGAGTGCTTAACGAAGTGGTTGGATAAGAGGTGATCTAACGTATCGTTCCACTCGACAAACTGCTTAAAAGTGAAATAAATTATATCATGTAGGTATTTATCAGCATTTCACGTTTTCAACAAAAAAAATATCAAAATATAGGCTAAAAAGCATGCTAGAAATATAACAAGCATCCTTTCAAAAATATCAGTGTTATCCAAAATAGATAATAGAGATATTATCTAGAGTAAATGCCACTGTGAGTAAAGATATATTTAAAACAATGTTCATAAAGTGATTTAAAAAATATTCCCTATAGTATAATATATTCTTATTAAATATTCAATATATTAATTATTTTACTACTTTTTGAGATTAGTATTGACAAACTTTTGTTCTATTATATAAATTCTTTTACTCCCTTTTCAATTAATAAAATATTATTTGTAACAATATAAATTATCATAAAATTTTTGTAATTTAATAATCATCTTATCCTTCATAGAGCGCAAGTATTAACCTAGTATAACTTTAAAAATACATAACGTGATCATAACCATAACATATAATTTGATATACACTTTTTATATGTCACTAACATTTTTACTCGACTAAAATAATACATATGTACTATATATGTTATTAACATAGTTTATTGGAGTTTCCAAAATTTATAGTATATATGTGTACTATATTATTCTAAAATGAATGAAATAAGGTAGGAAAACTAATCAAATCTTTGAAATTATAATATCCATAATGTCTTGAACATGCATATAAAATAAAATATATACTATAATCTCTTTGTAGGATTATTTGGCAATGACATAATATGTAATTAGTCTAAGTAAGAGAGAGTTATTCAATAAAAGATGTGATGTGCATTGTGTTGTTGACACCTAAAAAATGACAAAGTTGTTAATCATAAATGAGGATGAGGTTTATTTTTAAAAATGCTCTTCAAATAATAAAAAGGGGATTAGTTTTTTGAAATTAATAATTAGACATATATTATAAATTAGTCCTATATAGTAATGTAATTTTGAATGTCATTTAATTATGTTTCCATAATATTAGGCATATACAAGCCTACTTTTGAAACTCATTCCAAACGTTATTAATCTGTTTTAAGCATATATACAAATAAATTACTATACAATACAATTTTTATTTATATTTTAAACTCTTATAAATTTATTTCTATGTATATAAATATAAAATTTATATTTATATTTTAAACTCTTATAAATTATCATTAAAAATAGTTTTAAAATTAAAAATGAAATCATTTCTGTGCTTTGAAAGCGTGATCAAATCTAATTTATAATAGTCATAACCAAATGTATTGACCAAGAAAAGGTGACCAAATAAATAAACTTGAAAGTACGGACGAAAAAGACGAAAAAGAAGAAAAAAATGACAGAAAACAACAAAAACAGCATAGATTCGTGTGTCCAGAACAGATTAATTAACAAGAATATAAAAACTTTTCAAGCGTTCACACAGATACCATCTGTCTATTCTGGCTAAACAAGGAAATATATAAATTTACCAATTTACCCCTAGCACTCAAAAGAAATTTTAAACATAATTGAAAAACCATCGACCTCAGAACAGTAACGAGAATATTCAAGCCTAATAATACATTTTATTTTTTTCTTTTTAAAGGGATTTTTAAGGTTCAGAAGGAGAAAATCTGAGAAATGAAATCAGATTTCTTTTCTATTCTCGTTCTTGGTTTGATCTTCAACAGCTTGGTGCTGTTCTGTAATGGAGGCCTCACCAGTAACTTCGTCAGGAAAACAGAGAAGTCCACTGACATGCCTTTTGATAGCGATGTCTTTCGTGCTCCTCCTGGTTATAATGCACCTCAACAGGTACGATGAACATCTTTTCCTTTGTATTAAATCTTTTCAGAGTTTTGCATGTTGTGGGTTCTGATTTATAGTTTTAACCTTTTCTTGTGCGTTCTGTTAGGAAGATGTTTTCCAGTTTAATATTAAGCTTCACTTATTGTGATTTTTTTTATTAAATCTCTGTTCTAGTTGAGGAAAAAGCTTGTCAAGCTTAAATCAACAATCTTTTCAGAGATTTGTTGTGGGTTCTGGTTATAATTATTAAATTGTCAACCTTTCTGGTTCTTCTTGTTGCTAATTGTTTGGTAGATGTTTTTCCAATTTAATACTACTATCACTTTATGTATTTTAATCTTATTTTTTTGAACTGGGTTTTTTTAATCTTTGCTCTAATGGAAAAAAAGCTATTCATTGGACAATTCCGGTTGATCAAAGCTTGCTTATTGGACGTTTATAACAATATATTTAGTTAACTTTTCTTCTTTGTAATTAAAAATATGATCTAAAATGGGTTTTTGTACAAAAAGCTGCACATAACACAAGGAGATGTAGAAGGGAAGGCAGTGATAGTGTCTTGGGTGACACAAGAAGCACCAGGTTCGAACACAGTCCTTTACTGGAAAGAGCATAGCTCCCAAAAACACAAAGCCCATGGCAAAACCAACACTTACAAGTTCTACAATTATACTTCTGGTTATATTCATCATTGCACCATCAGAAACTTGGAGGTCCATCATCATCATCAACAACTATTTATCATCAATCTATGCTATTGTTGTTATCTGATTTTGTGATTCTCATTTCTATAGTATGACTCCAAGTACTATTATGTGGTTGGTGTGGGACAAACTGAGCGCAAGTTCTGGTTCTTCACTCCTCCTAAAGTTGGTCCTGACGTTCCTTACACGTTTGGTCTCATTGGTATTGTCATGAATACATATTTTTATGGTTTTGACAGAAATGCAATTTAGCAGCCTCTCTTGGACTTGAAACTTGAGTTGCAAATTCTTGTGTTGCAGGGGATCTCGGGCAGACTTTTGACTCAAACATAACCTTAACACATTATGAGAATAGCCCCAAAAAGGGACAAGCTGTTTTGTTTGTAGGGGATCTCTCATATGCTGATAACTATCCTAATCATGATAATAATAGATGGGACAGTTGGGGAAGATTTTCTGAAAGAAGCACAGCTTATCAGCCATGGATTTGGACAACAGGAAATCATGAACTCGATTTTGCACCCGAGATTGTAAAGCTTCATCTTCTTTGTATTTGGCTTTAGGCTTCAAAATGCTATAGCACAAAGAGATAGCGAATCTAGCTAGACCAGCATTACACATTCATTAGACTGAGATTGAGATGGATCGTTTTTTATGCGCTTTGCAGGGAGAAAACAAACCGTTTAAGCCATTCACGCATAGGTACCGCACTCCTTACCGAGCATCAGGCAGCACAGAACCATTTTGGTACTCGATAAAGAGAGGACCAGCTTACATCATTGTGCTTTCTTCATATTCAGCATATGGTAATAGCACCTTTATAATCTTCACACACTCTTTCATGATACTCCTAGACTTACTTTAACATTCCATCTTTTCTTTCTTGAACAGGTAAATATACGCCACAATACTCGTGGCTGGAAAAAGAGTTTCCAAAAGTTAACAGAACAGAAACTCCATGGTTGATTGTTCTGAACCATTCACCTTGGTACAACAGCTACAATTACCATTACATGGAAGGTGAAACAATGAGAGTGATGTATGAGCCGTGGTTTGTCGAGAACAGAGTAGATATTGTTTTCTCAGGTCACGTCCACGCCTACGAAAGATCAGTAAGAACACAAAACTCTACCTCATCATGTCTCCTATAGATTCTGACAACTTTGAGCTTTTTGTGAAACCAGGAACGCATATCAAACATTGCGTACAACGTGGTTAATGGCATTTGCACTCCAGTAAAAGATCAATCTGCTCCTGTTTATATCACCATTGGTGATGGAGGAAATATTGAAGGACTGGCTACCAAGTAAGCTATACAATAAAGAAATTACGATCATTGCAAACCGATTTGATTCAGAATGATGAGCTTGAATGTGTTATATGGTTTCTGCAGAATGACTGAGCCTCAGCCTATGTACTCTGCCTTCAGAGAAGCCAGCTTCGGGCATGCAATACTCTCGATAAAGAACAGGACGCACGCACACTATGGATGGCACAGGAACCAGGATGGTTACGCCGTGGAGGCTGACACCATGTGGTTTTACAACCGATTCTGGCATCCTGTTAATGATTCTCCTTCTTTTGATTCTTGAGAATCTATAGAATGAAGAGCATCCAATACAAAACAAAAAATAAAAATTTGTATACAATGGAATATTGACTTCAATACGGTCCATATTAATTAGGTTGCAAAAAAATACAATCAAGAAATAATGAAAAAGTGTCAGCGTAAGAGCAATAAATATATTTTAAACTAGAGTCGATCTGCGCTACGCGCGGAATTGAATTATGAGCCGAATGATATGAATAGTTTTGTTTTTATAAAATATGTAACAATTTTTAAAATTTTTGTTAAGTTGGGTTTAAATACGATAGGGTTATCTACATAAATTTTAATTATATAACTATAAAGACTGAATTTTTTACTGTTGTTTTTATTTGAAATTCTAAGAAATTTTATTAATAACAAAAGCATGGGTAATATGAAATAAAAACCAGTAATGGTATAAAGCCACATATGTATTATTCTAGACTGGAAACATGTCGTCTAAAATATCGTGTTCTGACATACAGAGAGTAAAATGGTATTATTCTGGGGTAAACCCATCCTATGGACGGGAGAGTATATAAAAGATTTGTTGAAATTTATTTTAGATATTTAATTTACTTTTAACTAAAAAGTAGTATCAAAGTTTATATTTGTTTACAAAATTTTAACTATTTATTTAACTATTAGCTTCAGAAATTAATACTAGTCTAACTATAATAAACTTTTAAAAAATGTAGTTATATACTTTTCAATATTTATTTTTATTTAACTATACCAATAGGTAACATAGTTTAAAAAAAATAACAAATTACAGTCGACTGGAGTAAGCAGAGTGAAATTTCATAAAGATTACCAAAAAATCTATATTTAATTTTTATTTAATTTTTTTCTTTATACCATTTTAAAAAGCTAATGATTTATATGATGTCAGTTACTATAACTAAAATATTTTAAGACAAATAAATAGATAACATGAAACTATCTTTACTATTTATATGTATTATTATATATGGAAATGAATTTACATGTTAGCAAAATAGTTGATTAGAATTTTTGAAACAAATTTTACTGACTAACATATAGAATATAATCCTTAAAATAATTTTCCTTACATATTTAAATTATTATATATTGATCAAATAAACTTAGTATTAAGAAGTTCATTATTATTTTACAACAATTCTATCTATGTATTTGACAATTCATTTCAGCATTCAGTACAGTGTCAATATTATCTTACAATTATATATGTTCTTTTTCTTTTTCACACATTTTAACAAAATAGTGATTATTTTTATCCTATTTAATAAGTACATTACATATTAATCACGATATTGAAGTTTATAAGAAACAATCAAATAACAATGCATGATGAATCTTGTGTTTTAGTACGAATTGTTAGCACAAGCTGGTTTAAATTAAAAATGGTTTACAACTTTTTATAGATACAATATTTAGTTACGTATTTTTTTATTCAAGTTGGATGTTTGTTACCTTAAAGAAGTTCTAGATTCTGACCCGCTCATTTTTTCTAAACTTTTAAATTATTTAAAAAAATTTTATTGTAAATATTTTTCCAACTTAACAACTTAGGTATAACTCAACATTGATTTATACGTATTAAAAGAGAATATACATAACTGGGAAAATTTTACCATAAAAGATATCAAAACTAATTTACATATTTTAAAAATATATTTATGTATCTTTCAAATTTTAATGATTATTATTTTAATTTCTCTAGTTAGTAAATATTTGGTTAGTTAATATAATAAATAAGAAACTTGATTTTACACATTCTATAGAAAATATACAAATTTTCAATAATATTTTTTTAGGGGAATTGCCAAAACCAACCCAAATATTCATTTTAACCCTAAAGGTGTACCCCATATTCAATCAATTGCAAACCCAACCTAAATGGGTGTTAAAACTACTATTTAACCCTTATGAACAAACAAAAAACGTGGAATATATTTTACGATTCTGTCCTCCGTAGGTCTACACTTTAAGAAAGAAGTCTACAACTAGGTAGACTTACATTAACGTCTACTGTGTAGACTAGTGTAGACTTATTATTTAGTCTACATCTTTATTTAATCAAATAATTTAATTTTAAAAATGTAGAAAAAATGTTTTTGGTAATTTTTTTAATAAATCATCAATTTAAAGGTTAGTATGAGGTATATAAATTAAATTTTCTTATAATTGAACAATTTAAAAGAATGTATACTGATTTGGGAGCTATGTGGTAGACAATGTTAATGGTTTAGCAACCAAAGGTTCTAACATGCTATGTCTTTTAGAGTTAGATTCTTAGGGTTAGATTCTAGATTTAGAATAATTTTGTTTTAATGATTCAAAATTGCATATTTAATGTTGAGTAGTTTATATTTTGTATATATGATAATTGGTACAAGGACTAAGATTTTTTTTATAATCAATCAAACATTTAGGGTTTGAGATTTGGGGTTTAGGGTTTGAGATTTCTGGTTTAGTGTATAGTAGACTTACAGTTAAGTCTACTGATATGTAGACGTGTATTTCAGTCTACGTTAATTTGTGTTTACCAAAATAAATTATTTTAAAATTAAAATTAACTAAGCGGGAAGTGAAAATGAATTTTGGAGCCTATTTTTCCATATTGGCGCCAATATTTAGGGTATAGTAGACTTACAGTAAAGTCTACTTATATGTAGACGTATATTTCAGTCTACATTAACCAATTTTACCTAACCGAAAAAATTACACAGCATATAAATATTTTTTTAGGGTATTCTGGTAAAAAGAATCATAATCACGCCATTTAGATCTGAGGCGGTTTAGGGGGCGATTTCCGGTGAGATTTCCGGCTAATCCTCTTGACTCCGTTTTCACACCCAGCTACCTTCCTCTCGTAATCACCATTCACCACCATGACCATCACCACTATCCTCTCCCATCCTTCAGCCATCTCCACCTTGTCTCCTCCTCATCTCCTCCTCGTCACCACCATTACTCTCCGCCTCGTCTTTTCCTCATCTCCACCATTACTTTCCGCCTTGTCTCCTCCTCATCTCCTCCTCGTCATCACCATTACTCTCCTCCCTGCCTCTCTCTCTCTCTCTCTCTCTCTCTCTCTCTCTCTCTCTCTCTCTCTCTCTCTCTCTCTCTCTCTCTCTCTCTCTCTCTCTCTCTCTCTCTCTCTCTCTCTCTCTCTCTCTCTCTCTCTCTCTCTCTCTCTATGCGTTTATAAAGACTCTCTGCATCTCTTATTGTTTTGATTAAAGTGTTCAATTTTCGTTCTAGGGTTTGTATATATTCAATTTATTTTCTGTAAATTGAAATGCATATGTCGTTGACAAAAATTGATGAAGTGTTATGAGTTAATACATGTTTGTAGTGTACAAGCATGTGTTATGTTTTATTGATTTCTCTGGCTCTTTTTGTTGCAGGTTGCTCCCAGAATTTCACTGCAGATTACGGATTTGTAGACTTTTACTGCAAACTACGGATTTGTAAACTGTCTTATAGGTCTACATTAATTTAGAATGAATATACAGTCTATATAGAAAAATCTATTAAAAATTGGATTTGTGTATTTTTTATTTTAGGTTTCAGATTCTGTTTAGAGAAACATTGATTGTTCATTATATTTTCGGATGCATTGTCTTAGATTCTGTATAGAGAAACACTGATTTTTTTATTATATAGTTGGATGCATTGGGTTAGCTTAAGCTTGTTTTACTCACTCTCTGAAGTTGAATCATTTATTAGAGTGGTTAGGATGTGTTTTTTGATTACTAAAAAGATTGGAACTTTAATTGAGAAAATCTATGTGAGTTTCATGCTTTACTCATAACTTCTAATCTTAATTAATGTGACTGAAATCAGATGTGTAGTGCCCATTAATCACTGTCAAGTCATGTGTACCATACTCTTAATTTAGTTATGGTCGTTTTTTCCCTTATTATTCTGATTTGTTTTGTTGAATCTGACTTCTTTTGTTTTGTTTTCTGTAGATTAACCTCCATTCTTCGTTGATGGGACATGAAGAGTGGAAGAAAACCTTGAGTTATTGAAGAAGTTTACGGTGGAAGAAGAAGATGAAGCTGTTGGAGTCTTCAATTTTTTTAGGTTTAGAATTTTTTAAAGATTTGGTTTGGTGTAAACCAAGTTGGGGAAATTGTGGTGGTTTGACTTTAGTTTCTAATTATTGGTTTAGTTTTGTAAACTAGTTTTAATTTATAAATAAAATTTATTAGTGTTCTTTCTTGTAGACTTACAAAGAAGTCTACTTGACAGAGAAAAATATAACATAAGTTTATCACATTAGACAACATCCAAAGCAACAATATAGTTTATAAGTTCAACACAGACTAAAGACCTACAAATCCAATAGAAGACAACTCAAAGCAATGAGACGCTAATACATAATAGAACATCCATAGCAATAAGACAACTCATAAGTTCAACACATAACACTAACACATCTACAGTTTTTCACCACCCATTCTCTGAATACAATGAGTAATTGAGCCATCTCCTGCAAAAAAAAAAGAAATACGGTTTACATAATTAGCAAACAAAAATTTCATGTTTGGTAAAATTATAAAATAAACTTACAAGTACATGTACAATTATTAGCAAACAATATAGTTAAACCAAAAATTATATCATAGACTTACAAGTACGTCTACAAATTTTAAGCTAACACCATAGACAAACAAAAAATTTGATAACTTCCTAATTATAACAGATTATCTTCTGAAAATCATTCAAGACCCTTCTGATTAACTAACACACACTTTCATAAAAAACTTTTTTGAAAAAACTCAATGAATAATACAGAAATCCACTTTTGATAGATTTTTCTAGGTAGATTACATATTCAGTCTACAGACGTGTAGATGTTTTATTCAGTTTACAGTCTGTAGACTGAAAATTAGGTCTATGTTTAGGTTGGTTTCTGCAATTGCCAAATTCACGGGTTACTTTCTGTATTTGAAAAAAAATATGTGATTTTATACGAGTAGACTTACTTTTTGGTCTACATTTTTTAAAATGTTAGTTTTGCAATTGACCAGAATTCGTTCAGAGTTTGACTTTTAGAAGTAGACCTATTATGCAGTCTACATTTTTAAATTTGTCTGAAAGAGGTTAGTTTTGCAATTGACCAAAGTTGACTTTCTACGAGTAGACAAAACTAAATGTCTACGTAACTGTAGACTGCAGTAAAAGTCTACATTA